CCAAAAGTGTCACTCAACTATTTAGTGATCTGACACAAAATACAGGTAGGACTTAACTTTTGTAGTTAATCCATCACTTAATCCAGAGTAAGTAGAACTTAGCATTTTTGAGTTAATCCCCCTAGTATGTCACCGTCCCATACCGGTACATACAATCTATCCATCCAGTGTTGATGATATAAATAACAGTAAATATTAACATAACCAATTTAAGCATTACAAGATTGTATAAATAGCATGCTTGTTCAATACATCCAGTATATAATTCTCTACAATTTAGAATGCAAAGAAAGAAATAAGTATAATCATTCTGTAACTCACAATAAGCATAATAATAACAATAACAGTATATACATGCTTACTTATAATTACTCCACAACATCCCATAAGTTGATATAAACAATGCTTAGTAAACATCAACTAGTTTCTTATTAAGCATTAACTGAATTTATATTAATTAACAGGCTTAATCTCATACCGCTGTTTATGACTTACATGTCAAACTCCTATTTCAATTGCTAATTTAAAATTAAACAACTTGAATCGTCTGCAACATTGCAACCATGTAAACTTCCTTAAAAGTTTCTTACTGTCCCTTATAAATATATAATCATTCTGTAATCTAATATGCTTAATTTAAATTACAGAAACATGATTAAACAATATTTCCATTCCCAGATAAATAGCAACTCATAAAGTTATGCACTTAAAATCCTCTGCCTCCAAAAACAGTCCACCAGTTCACTTGAAATTATAATGGTTCATCTACCGACTTCTTTGTAATTTATTAAGTATTAACACACTTCCAAAAGTTTTAATAGGACTTAGATGATACTGAAACATCCCTGTATAGCTCCTAACTGCATCTGGAAACACCCAATTCTGAAACCTGTAGCTAAAACCATCACCGAAAAAGCGAAAAACTGAAAACTGTTGAAGGAGCCGGCTCCCTAAACATTGGAGCCGCCTCCACTGGTCCTAGAGCCGCCTCCATTCATGGTGGAGCCGGCTCCACCCTTTGTGGAGCCTCCTCTACTCAAAACAGAGCCAGCTTCTCCCCTGTTGCTTGATCTTCTCCAACTCCGGCAATGTCCGGCAACCTTGTTCCTCCAAACCAAGTTTATAACTGATTAAAACTAAGTCCTAAGGTGTTCCAGAGTTAATTAAATTCTTTACTTATTAACCAAATTCAATCGGAACAAGAATCAAGCAAAACAGATTAAAACCGAATGAAAAACACATACATGAACACATACTGTTTTGAAACAATTAATTGTGCAACCATATTAATTTAACTTTATTACTTCCTGGAACTGAATTAGCGATGCAAAGAACACAGGCCAAAGAGATAGAGTTAGTTATAGAACTTGCCTGTGAGATTTGGTTCAAAAATCTCAACGTCTTTCTTTTAAGTTTTCCGGTAAACTACAGTAATTCTCCTCTGCTCCTAACTCCCCTGATTCTTCTGCCTCCAATACGTGGTTAGGGTTCTAAACCCTTGACAGCCTTATATATATATATAGGCCAACTAAACCTAGGTGCCGTTAAAACCCAATCCTAATACTAGACAGAAACAAGTCGGCTAAATACGTGGCTTCCCAAAACTGATAAAACCTTAATTTAATAAATAAATCATTTAACTTAATTCAAATAAATATTAACTAATATAAGCAACCAATTTAAAATAAAACAATTTAAAATAAAACAAATAATCAATTTAAACAATTAAAGCAAAACAAAAATTCAACTAAATAACAATTAAATAAACAAACAAACACAACAATTACAAATAACCAATTAAATAAACTAAAAACACAATTAAACATTTAAATAAATTCCAGATCTATCCTTTTTAAAATTAAGAGTATTACAAACTACAACTTGCCCCCTTGAACTATCAATTTTGTGCAATTAAGGACATTTCGGCCATTGAGTTGATCAGAAAAATTAATAGACTCATTTACCCTCGTTTAAAACGGTGTCGTTTCACACTTAAGGCACTTCAATGAATATGGTGGAAGATAACAATCTCAAGTAACCAATCATATTTTGATAACACACACCAATAGTATCTTTATTCTTAGGCCAAACAAAGCCATCTGTTCGCCCCGTCTCTGAAAATAAAAAAATAAAAAAATTCCTTTTTTACTCCATCCTCACCGATCACCACGTTCTTAATCTGCCACCATCTCTCTCCGGCGACTGAACTTCCGTCGCCAAATCCGTGCCTCCGACGCCCTAGACTTAGAGAAATCAGTCAAAATATAAAAGCTTGATTTGGGTTTATGCAACACCATCTGTGAGTTAGAGAAAGAGCTTGATTTTGGGTCACACCCATGGCGTCGGAGGCACGGATTTGGTGATCCGAGTTCATATATATATCTCAAAGTTATTATGTGATTCTTGATTTTGAAATTTTTGTTGTTAGAGAGAGAGTGTTAACAAAGCAATCGAGTCAACTCACAGCAAAGTAGCGGCGATTAAGAACAGACCCAACTACGGTAAAGATTTGGTGAGGAATATGACTGTGAAAGATTTGGCGGGCGCTTTTTCACCTTCTTTTCACTCTGGACAGGAGCGCTAGTTGACATGGGGAGGGAGCAGGCGAAGCGTCTAGTTCGTAATGGAAAGAAAGAGACCACTACTTTGCCTCTTTGTTGGACCGCCGGCGCGAACACAGTGGTTTCAGGACCAGGAACCAATTAGAATTTTGATCTTGACATGTCGGTGGGTTGAGATTTTTATGATTCAATTGAGTTTGGTTGGTGATCAGTGACAAAATATTCATGGTTTTGCGATTGGGTTTGCGGGACTTGTGGATTGGGTTGCCGGCGATGAGCTTGTATTGTCAGAGAGATGAAAGAGGGTCTTGGGTTGTTCTACAATGTTTACACTTTTAACTTCTTCCATCTACTTTCACACCTCATTTACAGATGAAATATATATATATATATATATCTAACCACAAATCAATCGAGGAAGATGGGGAATGAGAAATTTAGGGAAGATATACATAGAAGGGCATTATGATCTTTAATTTTTCATGAGGGTTGTATGGTTATTTAATTATATTTGGGTTGTTACGTGACTTGCATGTCCTCAAAATCCACCGGCAGATCGCCGAACGGGGTAAATTGCTACCAAATTCTTAGTTCAAGGAGTCAATTGCCAAATTATTAGATCGGGGGATTTTTTGCTATGTGGCCAATACTTCGAGAGAGTTTTTTGCACTTTACTCTGTTAATTACTATAATTTACATCACACTTCAAAACTGACTATGTTACAAGCTAGACTACTGACTACAAATATATAAATAAGATGTGGCTGTAAAAAATTATAATTATTTCTTATATTTTGAGTTACTCGGTAAAACTTTTATCCAAATGCTGCCGAAAGTAAATTTGTATTATAAGATTTAAATCTAATCTGTCTCATAGTCTCAAATACCTTTTACTCAAACTCATAAATTTTCAGATAGAACTTGAGTTGCTCATATTAGTCCCACCTTTCTCACCCCTATTTGTTTTTGCTGCAAATGAAATGAAAAATTGCATATAGAATTTGATGCAGGCTTAAATCCCTAGTGCACATTTTATTAATTAATTTTAATAGGTAAGAAACATTAGCACGTCCACCTTGTTCCATTCAGAACTTAACCATCAACCTCCTCTATTATTGGTGGGAAACAAGAAAAGAGTTGGTGAAATTCAAGTACGTTCCACTCAAATTAGAACTAAACAGCGAAAATTAATTGAAATTTTAAGTTGTCCAAGTCTTCAATCCATCAAAAACAATGCACAGGTATGCTTTATAAATTGATCGTGACTTGCATATATGTATGTGTTTTTAAAAGAAATTAAAGAAAACACGTTACCATAGTATATAAATTAAGTTGAATGGCCGGCAGTCTCTCTTCGAAAGAGAAAAATGGTAGACTTGGGAAAATGATTGGAAGACTTCAGAAAAAGCCTTTCTACAAGTTCCAAAGATTCCATCTAAACAATTAATTTAAATTTAAGATGATCAATAACCACCATATATAACAATACAATTGATCTTCCTTGATCGATCCATAAAAGTTCCTTAAAAAATTATAAATCTCATCCGTTTCTCGTTGCATGCATGCACGCAACGTTTAAAAAATTTGTAACCCAGGTTTAACGGCACAGCCTCCAGGGAGAGAAAGTGCCTCTTTTACGGATTAATATATAACAATACAAGGAATCTCTCTTGATAGATTCAAACGATTCTTTCTGATTAATGTCACACTTTTGAAATCCACTTCCAGAAATGAGTCCAATTATGCTTCTCAACTCTTTCAGAATACAAACATTAGGAAAAATAGTGATCATCACAATATTGCTGCATATCATCATGAGTACACTCCCTAATGCCACTGCCAGTACTGTAACCATTGGCAAAAATGAGACAGATCATCTTGCCTTGTTAGCCATCAAGTCAAAGATTGTTCATGACCCTCAGGGTGTCGTGAGTTCATGGAACGAGTCCCTTCATTTCTGCAGGTGGGAAGGTGTTGCGTGTGGTCATCGCCATCTTAGAGTCATCACCAAACATCTAGGGTCTAGAGGCTTAGTGGGTTCGTTGTCGCCTTATGTCGGTAACTTGAGCTTCCGTCGGGTGTTAAACCTCTCCAGCAACACCCTTGAAGGTGAAATCCCTCCTCAACTTGGTCATTTGTTCAGACTGCAGATATTGAACCTGAACAAAAATTGTATCTTCAATAAAAGTTAAACGTCATTTTTGATTCCTTAGATAGGAATAAAATTTGGGGATTGCAAAAGTGGAAGTCTTCTTTCCTCCTATTTATTTCTTATTAATACGAAGAAAATTCAGAAAGAGACAGAGAGGGTAGACTTGGGAAAATGATTGGAAGACTTGAGAAGAAGACTTTCCGCAAGATTCCAACTTAATAATTTATTTAAATTTAAGAGGATGAATAACAAATCCATACATAAATGATAAATCTTAGAAAATTTATAACCCGAGTTTAACGGCATCCACAGACTTTCTGCTAATAGAGAAGACTTCCAAGAGAGAGAGGGAAGACTTTGGAAGTAACCTCTTTTCCGGATTAATATATAACAATACAAGCAGTGATCTTTCTTGATAGATAGATTCATACAAGCCTTTCTTACTAGCCTCACATTTTTGAAATCTTTGCACTTATGGAAATGAATCTAATTATGCCTCTCAACTCCTTCATAACACCAACACTATCCCTAGTGTTCATCACATTGCTGCATATCGTCATGACCACACTCCCCAATGCCACTGCCAGTAGTACTGTAACCACTGGCAGAAATGAGACAGATCATCTTGCCTTGTTAGCCATCAAGTCAAAGATTGTTCATGACCCTCAAGGTGTCGTGAGCTCATGGAACGAGTCCCTTCATTTCTGCATGTGGGAAGGTGTTGCGTGTGGTCGTCGCCATCGTAGAGTCATCACCATACATCTACCGTCCAGAGGTTTAGCGGGTTCGTTGTCGCCTTATGTCGGTAACTTGAGCTTCCTTCGGGTGTTAAACCTCTCCAGTAACACCCTTGAAGGTGAAATCCCTCCTCAACTTGGTCATTTGTTCAGACTGCAGATATTGAACCTGAACAACAACAGCTTCGAAGGAGAAATTCCAGTTAACCTATCCCACTGCTCCAACCTCAGGTATCTTGGTGTACATGACAATAAGGTAGTTGGAAAACTTTCTGAAGAATTTGGTTCCTTGTCACAGCTCACACATCTCATCATTCACGGGAATCACTTTGCTGGAAAGATCCCTCAATTCATTGGGAGATTGGCTTCTCTAAAATACGTGTCTGCAGCTTCAAATCACTTCACAGGTAGTCTTCCTGAGGCCTTGGGTCAATTGAAAAATCTAGAAGTACTTGCGTTTGGTAGCAATGAACTCTCTGGTACAATCCATCCTTCCATTTACAATCTTTCTCTTCTAACTGTTCTCTCTCTGTCTGGTAACCATCTTCATGGCACTCTTTCGCCCAGCTTGGGTCTGATGCTCCCTAATCTTATACTTCTCCAATTAAGGGGGAACAAATTTACTGGACCCATTCCACTATCAATTTCCAATTGTACAACACTAGAAAACCTTGATCTTGGAGAAAATCATTTCAACGGGAAATTAGGAACTAATTTTGGAGGCCTACAGAATCTCGAGGATATTTCTCTATATATGAATAATTTAGGAAGTGGAGAGCCAGATGAATTTAGCTTCATTGATTCTATGGCCAATTGTAGCAATTTAAAAGCGTTAGATTTGCCTGCTAACCAATTCAGAGGGCTCTTACCTGATTCTGTGGGCAATTTCTCAAACCAACTTTCCTATCTCTCGCTTGATGTAAATTTTATACATGGAAAACTCCCTTCAGCAATAGGTAATCTTGTCAACTTAGAACATTTAGGCCTAGACAATAATCGATTCACGAGCACAATTCCAGTTACTATAGGAAATCTTCAAAATTTACAACGGGCATATCTTGGCATAAATTCTTTCCATGGGGATATTCCAGAATCTATAGGAAACTTGTCATTGTTGACGGAACTTTACTTGGGTGAGAACAGATTACTGGGGAACATACCCATGAGTCTTGGAAATTGCAAAAAATTATTATGGCTTGATCTTTCACAAAACAATCTTAGCGGCACCATACCCAAACAACTTTGGAGCATTTCTTCTCTTTCTATTTCACTAAATCTATCTGGAAACCAATTGTCTGGATCCCTACCTTCTGACGTTGGCCACCTCAAAAATTTGGCGGAGTTGGATATATCTGAGAATTGGTTGTCTGGTGAAATTCCAAATAGCCTTGCGAGTTGTACCAGCCTCGTAAACCTCTATATGGAGGGAAACTTGTTTAATGGATCTATTTCTCAATCATTGAGTTCCTTGAGAGGTATTCTGAACTTCGATCTTTCTAGGAACAAATTGTCTGGACATATTCCAAGATTCTTGGAGCATTTTTCCTTAAAGAATCTTAATTTGTCCTTCAATAATTTTGAGGGTGAGGTGCCCATTGAAGGAGTTTTTGCAAATGCTAGTGCAATTTCAGTTGTTGGAAACATTAGGCTCTGTGGCGGCATACCCAAACTTCAACTACCAAAATGCAACGTCAAAGAATCAAAGAAGAAGAAAAGTTCACTTATGCTCATATTAGTGATCTCAATAGTGTGCACACTTCTGGGTGTGACAATGGTAGTATCTTTCTTATTTTGTTGGGTTAAAAAGAAAAGAAATGTTCAACCTTCGGGAATATTGTTGAGAGAATCATTCATGAAAGTGTCTTATGAAATGCTCCTCAAAGCTACCGACAGGTTCTCTTCAACAAATTTGATTGGTGTGGGTAGTTATGGCTCTGTCTACAAAGGAATCCTTGATCCAAATGAAACCATTGTTGCAGTCAAAGTACTAAACCTCCAACGTCGGGGAGCTTCCAAAAGTTTCATGGCCGAGTGTGAAGCCTTGAGAAATATCAGACATCGGAATTTGGTAAAGGTCATAACTTCTTGCTCGAGCATTGATTTTCAGGGAAATGATTTTAAGGCTCTAGTCTATGAATTCATGATCAATGGGAGTCTAGAGAGTTGGTTGCATCCAAGTCTGAAATCTAGTAATAGAGAAAATGATCAAACTCATAGCCTAAACCTTCTTCAAAGAATAAATGTTGCAATTGATGTTTTGTGTGCACTCGAGTATCTTCAGAATCATTGTCAACCGCCAATAATCCATTGTGATCTAAAGCCAAGCAATGTCCTACTTGATAGTGACATGGTTGCACATGTAGGAGATTTTGGGCTAGCAAGATTTCTTCAACAACTCACAAATCCAAATCAAAGCAGTTCAATTGCAGTAAAGGGAACTGTTGGTTATGCAGCTCCAGGTAAGCATTGTTTCTCATATACAATCCATTATTGTTTCTTTTTTATTTTCATTTTCTTCCTCTAGGTTTAAAACTGCATCACCGAAGACACCATAACTTCTTAAGATTTAGATTTGATACCAAAACTAACTTCTAAGGATTAAATTTTGATATAAGTTAGTCCTCGTGTTTGTGTGTGTGTGTGAGAGAGAGAGAGTTTCATTGGAATGGAGGCATAAATTGAAGGGAATAATTTTTTGTGCATTTGTTATGGTTCCAAATCCATTTTTCTTCTCACCAAAAGTGCCATATTAAATGGTGTATGGAAATAGATATAACCTGTTTTTATTGGAATTTAAGTTGCTTTTAGCCCATAAACCTAAAAATTGAATAGCCTATCATTTTCAAATGTGCTTCCTATCTTTGTCAAAACAAAAAATAAAAAAATCTTTTCATTAATTATGTGAATGACAAAGTATGGTTTGGGAAGCAAAGTGTCAACAAAAGGGGATTTATACAGTTACGGGATCTTGGTATTGGAGATGATGACAAGGAAAAGGCCTACTGACAGTATGTTTGAGGGAGGCCTTAACCTTCATAACTTTGCTAGGATGGCTTTGCCTGACCGCGTTATGGAGATTGTAGACCCAATACTTCTGAACATTGATGATGAAGAAGAGGTAGCAGCAATGTCAAATAGAAATCGAGATGCTGAAGAATTAAAAAATGGCATCCGAATGGAGAGTGTGTTGTCAATGATCAAGGTCGGAGTAGCATGCTCCATGGAGTCATCACAAGACCGGATGGACATTAATGACGTCTTGCGTGAGCTGACTTTGGTCAGGAAAAATCTTCAAGGCCCTCAGAACAGGTCTTGAGGTAGGCCCCAAACCCTTGACACATCCTCAGTTGCCCACCTTCACGTATCAAACCAATGTTCATTCTCTGCCTTCATAGACAATTCATTTGTTGCTTCCACATTGATCCCCTTGCAGGTTTTCATCAACAAAATAAGTGGCCCTGGCTTGCTGTGTCTATTCAACTTTCCCTTCGGGATGTTAAGAATACCAGCAGATTCAAGGCTCAAGGACTCTGCTTCAACTAGAAGGCTTGCATCTGAATGGAACTTTCCCAGTTCATGCTTCTGGGCCCTTCCTACTATCAATGACTAGCTACTTCATTTATCTTCATTTTGAATTCGTTAAGCTAGTGTTTTGGTCCAGGTGTGGTTTTAATTCATAAGTTGTTGTTGTAGTTTGTCGATTGCTTCTTGGTTTGTGGTTCTGCTGTTGTTGTCATGGCTTTGAGAAAGTCCTGTGTCGTATGTATGATTGATTGTTTGCTTTTAGTTTCCCTTGTGTTCATGTGGTGGTTTTGTCTAGTTTTATTTCCAGAGCCATTCTTGTTTGCGGGACTTTTGTCCCCAGGGTATGCCCTGGTGTTGTGTATTCCTTCTTCTATTCTATACAAATTTACTCTTTACCAAAAATTATATATATATACACACACACACACACACACAAGTGGAAATTAAGACAAAATTAAATTAATTTTGTCCTACAAAATATGTTTTTAATGTTTCCAAAAATTAAGATTCCTTGGTAATTATACTCCAATTATAGTTAATGTGATTGATTTTCAACTAATTACAATCACGACTGTGATTGACAATTGCTTTGAGCAACAGTAGCACTGCTCTTTAAAAAATGTATTGCTATCCTTGTTAGCTTTTAAGTATGATTTGTCAAAACGACTACAAATATGTAGATATGCCTCCTTAAATTCTTTAAATGATTAATTTTTACTCGGTGCACCTAAAAAAAAACTTATTATATTTTTGAATGCAAATCCCCAAAAAATAATAAAAAAAAACTAACCTTAAGTTGCACATTTTATTTAGAACAAGCTTTTACACAAAATTTTAACACATAATCCTCGTACTATTCTATTTTTAAAAAGAGGAGACTTCATAGGTGCTACAATTAGGTACACCCCATTATACATATATATATATATATATATATATATATATATATATATATATATTATCCCAACCTCCTCCTTTAGAGCAGCTCCAACGGCCCAAAATTTAGAAATTCTGGGCCGGTTTTCGCTATTGGACTGCTCTAATAGCATTGCCAAAAATTGGGCCCCACCCAATGGGTTGCTGAAAAACCACGACCCTCTTAGCGAGCCGTGGGCCTCCCATGCAGGCCTGTAACGACTCGAACATAAGAGTCCGAATCGCTAACCGGGTCCTTACCCGAATCCGAGGTCGTCTAAGGGCATTATGGTCAATTCTAATGTCGATACATAATATATGTGCCACCCCTTATACAAAAAAATGAGATCAGAGCTACAAAAGATGTCAAAATAATCCATTATCTATCTAAACTTGTGGAAGAGCGTCGATCAGTAGGAGGTGTCTAAGACACACCTCTTAATGACCTCGTGAATCCATACAAAACATAGGATAAAAAAAGTACGGGATCATGTCATTAAGGGGAAAACACAATAACCACAACGACAATAACACCAACTACAATATAGGTCATCCAACCATATGTACAAAATGCATACCAATGTAATACAATGACATGCAAATGTCGCTCCCCATTTCCAAAACATTTCTATTTCACCGTTCCAAACCGTTAATGCAACCCGACCCATAGCAGCTCTATGGCGCCACGAGAAAACGATTAACTAGCTATCCCCGATCACATGGCATCTCCAAGGCGTCATATCGAACCTAGGTAGCTCAACCACGCTAGGATCTCTCCCTAGTTCCCTCTAGATCAAATTAACGACACGGACCATTAGGCAACTCCTAGGCGCCCGGGTTTTCGGAAACCACTTTTCAAAAACATATTTTCCAAAAATAATTTTCAATTACTTTTAAAACAACTTTTCCTTTTTTTCCTTCCCAATGAAATGCATGAATGCCTCATGCCATATACAATCATAACATTATACAAATTTCCATAATTTGAAATTAATCACAACAATATTACATGCCTTTATAGAAATTCTAGAAATAGACGTATCATGCTTTCATATAACAAATCCAACACCTTCAACATAGTGGTTATATTTCATACATTGACAAAATAAAGTTTCAACATTTATATACATACAATGCAAACAAAAATTCAGTTTAGCATACTTCATCACATCATTCCAAGTAACATACATTTTTTGCCACATAATCACATAGAACACATTTACACATAGAACCCTCAAACCATAAACAAAATTATCAATTTAAGCATGCTTAGACTGAAATTAAAGAGGGAAAATCTACAAAAATTCAAAGAAAATATGGATTAGAACACCTCTACCTCAAATTAAAGAGCAAAACCGTTAAAACCCCCAATTTTTGAAAATCAAAAAGTGGCCTAAACGGGGCTTTGCTTCGGTCAATACGAACCCCTCGCTATCGTCGACTCTGCCTTCAGTGGTCAAATTCTCAATGGTAGAGCTTGGATCAAAGCTTGAAATGGTGGGAAAAAAAATGAAAAAGGAAACTTATAAGGAGAGAGAGAGAACACTGCGTGAAAGAAGAACACAAAATGAATCAGGTAATGACCTTATTGTCATTATAAGGGTTCATTGCAAATGGTGGGTCCCATGGATGTAAAATATCATTAACATTATATGTGTGTGTACAAACCAAATTACCACCACAATTTAAACATATAACCAAATAATTATGCACCAAACAATTATTTATGAAGTGTAACAAACCCGGAACATAGTCCCCGTGCACAACAGTATCGGTTGCGGGTCCCATTTGGACCTTCCATTCCGAAAAATGAAAAAATGTCGAAATGACAACTAATACATTTCTAAGAGTCATGAACTCAAAGGAATGCCTCAACCAACTCTTGGGACCCATCTAGCACATCTTACTATGCCCGGCACGCAAAACGAGACAAATTCAAAATAACCCCGAAAATCAGAAAAATATCAGAAAATGAAAAATGGAAAAAATCGAAAACATTACAATCTGCCCTCTTTAAAGAGATTTCGTCCTCGAAATCTACCCTCCTTAAATTGATACGAATTCATTCATAAATAATCGCTAGAATCAAATTGAAAAAATAATATTTATAGTGTTTGAAAGTATTGAGTCGATAGTTTGAATTTCAAAATAGAAAAAAATTTAGTTTATTATTAATTAAATTTCTTTCAATTTAAAATTTAATCTCAAACACAACATTATTATTTTCGGAAAGTTAAAAAAAAAAAAAAAAAATGTATGTAAGAGCATATTACATCAAATTCAGCTTTAGTTAAATAGACCAGCACAATGGGCCTGCGAAGAGAGTACAATGGCCCAAGCCAAACAAAAGCAAAGAATGGCCCAAATAAGATGCAAATTACAAAAGCAAATCAAGCTTAATAGGATTTTTTTTTTTTTTGGAAGGGTCTGATATGATCCATTAAAAGATCGAATTGTTATCAACTGGTAGTCATTTTTGTATCAATTTAAATCTTGGAAAAGGTTGTATAATAATTATGACCATCTTTTTTCCTAATTTGGATCATTCAAGTATATTTTGTGTGTGCAATTGGGACAGATTAAATAGCCTTATGATTTTGATGATAACTTCACAACTTTATGTCTTACATTCTGCAGTAAGGTCCATGTCCAGGTCAGCATTTGAGAAAATTCCATGTCCTTCAATTAATGTCTTCCATTAATTCAATCTTACAGTAAAATTCCATGTCCATACCAGCATTTGAGAAAACTTCATTAATTTGAAAAACTAAAATTTGACTTCATTTATTTGTCCTTTGACCTCCAAAACACCATTTTTTTTAGAATTATCCCATAATAATATGTAAGGAGTAGTGAAGTAGTGTTTAGCTGATTTTATTTTATTTTGGCATTGAATTAATTAATTCAAGTAAGTCATTAACAATAGAGCAGTCTGGTCAAGGGAGTGCTCTCACCGTCAATACCCCTTGCATAATCTGCATTGAATCTAGTCGCTGCAAAAGGAGTGCTCCGGAGAGAGGCTGCCTTAATGTACAGCATTTGTTTTAACAATGTGGAATAATCGAAACTGAGTTTCAAAAAAATCTCATAATAAACTATAAAATAACATTCCAACTATGGTTACGTGCACAACCAAAGATTACAGTATAGTTGTAGGCGTTTTTGTATCCATTCAAAGCATTTTTGTAATAATTATGACCGTTCCTTTAGTTAATTTAGGAGTACTTGATTCAAGAAACTCAAGTTGGATTCTTAATTTTGTAATTGGACCATAGATGAATTCTTACGTTTTTTTCTTTCTTTCTTTGGTGCAGCCAGCAACAATCTAGTGGTAATTAATTTTTTTTCTTTTTCTTTTTTGAAACTCTTAATTACCATTTTCTTTACTTCATAGAAGCATATGAATGCTATTTGATTCAGTATTTATTTCTGTTAACTATTAGGGCTAATTGATAATTATTACAGAACAAAAATATAATATTATCTGTGTTATTTCACTAAAATTTTCATTAAATATTTCATATCTTATTAGCAACAAAAATGGATAAGGATATTCTCTAGAAAAGGAGAAGTCCGACACACCCACCAACCGTTAGTGGGAGAATCCAATCCAATGGTTGGTGGGTGTGCGGGACCTCTCATTTCCTGAAGAGAATCCTTATCCGTCCATTATTATCACCGTTACTTTATGTCTGACATTTTGATGTTAAAAAACACACTAATTTACAGGCTGTAACAAATTTGTTTTGTTTGAGTAATACCTAATTGTACCTCCTAAATTAGATGTCGGGAAAAAAAAAAAATTAAATGTAGTATAAAATATGTGTGGTGTAAAGGCAAGTAGTTGGGAATGGACAATAAATAAATAAAACAGGACAAGTTGTGCATGGTGATGAAAATAAAGAATTGTCTGAGGAGGAATATATGAATTTCCCACTGATAAGCTTATTAATTAGTTTAAGGGTGGACTCTGGTGCAACAGTAAGGCAGCATGTACATCTAACCCTCCTTAGACCATATAGCGATTGAAGCTCATTAGATGTGGATGATTGAATCTCTCTACATCCAAAGACCTTGTCAGTGACATCGGGAAAAAGGACTTGGCTCAACAATATCCATTTTTCCCCCCTCTAAACCTCCGCTTTTGGTAGCGGAGGAGACAAGACAGTAGTGAAATTCACATGTGCTCCAGCTCAATGAAAGTAGAGATGGTTTTTGCCACTAAAAGGATCAAAAAGTGAACCATTTTCTTGACTTAACCCATGACACCTCACAACAATTCATCAAGTTCCCAGATTTTCTTTATTCCAACACTAGGTATAGTATTTATAGTCTGAAGGAGCTTAGTGGCATAAATTGGATTTCAGGAATGTGAGGTTAGTTAGAAAGACTTGTATGAAACTATCTATAAAGATCACTTGTATTGTTATATATATATATATATATATCAGGTAAAGAGTCACTCTCCGAAGTCTTCCCTGTCCCTTTTGGAAGTCTTCTCTGGACATATTTTAAGAATTGGATGGATGCATGCGCAATGAGAAGTGGACTGGCGACATTAATTTATGGTTGTTAAAATTTAAATAAACGGCCGGCGATAATCATTTCCCGAAGGGAGCACTTTGAAAAAACTTCTCTACTGAGTAAAAAACTTTCTGGTAGATAAATAACAGTAGAAGTCTTCCCTGTGTATCTCTTTTTTAATATTTTGATTATATAATAAGGTAAGGTGTTTTCAACTGAATCAATTATACAATTAGGTAAGGTGTTTTCAACTTATAGAATAAGGTAAGGTGTTTGAAGACTAGGACAATTTAAAAAAATGAATTCATTTTGGCTGTTTAGTGTCTAATGTGATTGGAACTAGGAGCCTGATGAATTCATTGCTGCATATCATCATGAGTACCCTCCCTAATGCTACTGTCAGAACTGTAAGCATTAGCAAAAATGAGACAGATCATCTTGCCTTGTTGGCCATCAAGTCACAGATTATTCATGACCCTCAATGTAACGACCCTCACCCTGGCCAGACACAATATTGTCCGCTTTTAGCTCACCCAGACCAGAGACTTTCCAGGGGGTCACCCATCCTGGTACTACTCCAAGTTAAGCACGCTTAACTACAGAGTTCTGATGGGTTCACGGCCATCACGGCTTTAAAACGCGTTGTGTCATAGAAGGGTGTTGAATCTACATATAGCACTTGCCCCATCCACACCCAGACGATATGGGATTGTGCACCTGTAACTCGCCCAGTGTGGTAGCCTACTGGTGCCCCCTGCACACGCTCACACACACCCGCCCACAAGGTCGCCACACTCAAGGTGTCATAAGCTCATGGAATGAGTCCCTTCACTTCTGCGAGTGGGAAGGTGTTGCATGTGGTCATCACCATTGATCTAAGCTACAGAGGCTTAGTAGGTTCATTGTCACCTTATGTCGGTAACTTAAGCTTTCTTCGGGTGTTAAAGCTCTTCAACAACACCCTTCAAGGTGAAATCCCTCCTCAAGTTGGTCATTTGTTCAGACTGCAGATACTGAACTTGAACATAAACAGCTTTGAAGGAGAAATTCCAGCCAACTTATCCCACTGCTTTAATCTCAGGTATCTTGGTGTAAGTTTCAATAAGCTAGTTGGGAAACTACCTGAAGAACTTGGTTCCTTATCAAAGCTCACATATCTCATCATTGAATTAAACAACTTAACAGGAGAGATTCCTCAATCCATTGGAAGACTGAGTTCTCTAGAACTTTTGGCTTTACCTTACAATCTTTTCTCAGGTAGTCTTCCTAATGCATTGGGTCAATTGAAAAACCTGGAAGGACTTTTTTTAGGTGTCAATCAACTCTCTGGTACAATCAATCCTTCCATTTACAATCTTTCTTTGCTAACTAATCTCTTTTTGGCTGACAACCATCTTGATGGCACACTTTCGCAGAACTTGGGTCTGTTGCTCCCTAATCTTCAACAGATCCAATTATGGGGGAACAAATTTACTGGACCCATTCCACTCTCAATATCCAATTGTACAGCACTAGAAAGCCTTGAACTTTCAAATAATAATTTCAATGGGAAATTAGGAATTAATTTTGGAGGCCTCCCAAACCTCTTTAGAATTATTCTAAATGATAATAATTTAGGAAGTGGAGAGCCAGATGAAATGAACTTCATTGATTCTATGGCCAACTGTAGCAATTTGCATATACTACAGCTGGGTCCTAACCACTTTAGAGGGTTCTTACCCAATTCTGCGGGCAATCTCTCAGACCAACTTCGTCATCTAACACTTCTTAAAAAATTCATACATGGAAAACTCCCTTCAACAATTGGTAATCTTGTTAATTTAAATCTTTTATTTCTAAATAATAAACAATTCACCGACGCAATTCCAGCTGCTGTCGAAAATCTTCAAAACTTGCAACGGGCAAATCTTGCAGGAAATAAATTCCATGGGGAAATTTCGGAATATATAGGAAACTTGTCATTGTTGACAGAGCTTTACTTGTTTGGGAACAGATTAGTGGGGAACATACCCTTGAGTATTGGAAATTGTAAAACGCTGTTATTGCTTGATCTTTCCCAAAATAATCTTAGTGGAACCATACCCAAACAACTTTTGACATTGTAAATCATTTGTTTGGATCCCTCCCTTCAGAAGTTTTGCAACCTAAAAAATTTAGCGAAGTTGGATATATCTGAGAATGAGTTGTCTGGTGAAATTCCTAATAGCCTTGACAGTTGCACTAGCCTTGAAAGTCTCTACATGGAGGGAAACTTCTTGGAGCATTTTTCCTTAAATAATCTTAATCTATCTTTCAATGATTTTGAGGGTGAAGTGCCCAGTGAAGGAGATTTTGCATATGCTATTGTAATATCGGTAGTTGGAAACAATAGGCTATGTGGGGGCATACCCAAACTTCAATTGCCAAAATGCAACATCAAAGAATCAAAGAAACAAAAAAGTTCTCTTGTGCTCATATTAGCGATCTCGATACTGTGCACACTTCTGGGAGTTACAATGGTGCTATCTTTCTCATTTTGTTGTGTTAAAAAGAAAAGAGATGTTCAACCTTCTGGAATATTGTTGAGGGAAACATTCTTGAGAGTGTCTTATGAAATGCTCCACAAAGCAACTGACGGGTTCTCTTCAGTAAATTTGATTGGTGTGGGTAGTTATGGCTCTGTCTACAAAGGAATCCTTGATCCAAATGAAACCATTGTTGCAAACCTCCAACATCGAGAAGCTTCCAAAAGTTTCATGTCCGAGTGTGAAGCCTTAAGAAATATTAAACATCGGAATTTGGTAAAGATCATCACTTCTCTTTCAAGCGTTGATTTTCAAGGAAATGATTTTAAGGCTCTAGTCTATGAGTTCATGCCCAACGGGAGTCTAGAGAGTCGGTTGCATCCAGGTCCGAAATCTAGTAACGAAGAGAATGAACAATCTCAGAGCCTAAACCTTCTTCAAAGAATAAATGTTGCAGTTGATGTGTTGTGTGCACTTGAATATCTTCATCATCATTGTCAAACGCCTATAATTCATTGCGATCTAAAGCCAAGCGATGTCCTACTTGATAGTGAGATGGTTGCTCATGTAGGAGATTTTGGGGTAGCGAGGTTTCCTCAACAACTCACAAATCCAAAACAAAGCAGTTCAATTGCAGTAAGGGGAACTGTTGGTTATACAGCTCCAGTTAAGCATGCATAATACATTATTGTTTCTTTTTATTTTCATTTTCTTGCTCGGTTTAAAACTGCATCACCACAACTTATTAGGAATTAGATTTTATACCTAACTAGCTTGTTAGGATCAAAATTTGATACAGTTTAGTCCCTGTGCTTGTGTGTGCATGCACGTGATAGAGAGAGAGTTTCATTGGAATGGAGGCATAAGTGGAAGGGATCAATTTTTTTTTTGGATTTGTTGATTGCTTCCAAATTTGCTCACACCAAGAGAGCCATATTGGGGAATAGATATAACCTGTTTCAATCATAATCTAAGTTGCTTTTAGCCCATAAAATATTAAATAGCTTATCATTTCAAATGTGGTTCCTATCTTTGTCAATTTTATCTTATCTTTTCTTTTCTTTTCATTAATTTTGTGAAACGGCAGAGTATGGTCTGGAAAGCAAAGTGTCAACAAAAGGGGATTTATACAGTTACGGGATCTTGGTATTGGAGATTGTTAGAAGATATTATATTTGGAAAATATTATTATAGGAACCCTTAAATTACTCATTGACATAATATTTGATATGAGAATATCATAGTAGAGATTTTAGCCTATGGTAGAATATTGATTGGAGTGATTTATGGTATTGATTTTAGGAATCTTCCATTAATGTATTTTCCATATTTATCACCTCAATTCTTTGACCTATAAATAGAGGTGATCATTGTATACAACGATTAAGAGAGAATATATTATAAAGTGATGTAGCCCTTTAGGCTCTTTGTGCCGTGGATGTAGGCCCTAGTGGCTGAACCACGTAATATCCTTGTATTCTTCGTGTTTCAATTCTCTCTTCACTTCCATTTTATGCTTTACAACAGAGATGATGGCAAGGAAAATACCTACTGACAGTATGTTTGAGGAAGGCCTTAACCTTCATAATTTTGCTCAGATGGCTTTGCCTCACCGTGTTATGGAGATTGTAGACCCAATACCTCTGAAAATTGACGATGAAAAAGAGGTAGCAGCAGTGTCAAAAAGAAATCAGGTTTCTGAAGAATCAAGAAATGACATCAAAATGGAGTGTCTGTTGTCAATGATCAAGGTTGGAGTTGCATGCTCCATTGAGTCGCCACAAGATCGGATGGACATAAGTGACGTCTTTCGTGAGCTGAATTTGGTCAGGGAAAATCTTCAAGGTGCTCGAACAAGTCCTGATGCATAATGGTAACACATAAAACTCAAACTTAAATGCCTGTTAGCTTTGTATTTGATTTTAAAATTGTATTGCAAAACATGGCTATGTTCTTTGGTTTTCAGCTTGGGGTAGGCTTCAAACCCTTGACATATCAAAACCCTATTCTTTAATGTCCATTCTCTGCCTTCAATTGGAACCAAATACAATTCATTTGTCGCTTCCACATTGATTCCTTTGACTGGCCCTCTTTGTTGCTTTGGGTTTCTGATGATTGGAATTCCTCCAAAAGCTTGCAGGTCTTCATCAACAAAGTGTCCCTGGCTTGCTTTGTCTATTCAATTTGGGTTGGAAGAAATGCTAGAGATTTTTGAAACTCAAACTCTAGCCCTTCTATTGTCCTTTGGAATTTTAAGAATTCCGTCATATTCAAGCTCGTGTCTCTAATACAAGGACTTTGCTTCAACTAGAAGGCTTGCATCCGAAAGGAACCTTCCAAGCCCATCCTACCAGCAATGACTAGCTAGTGCATTCTTCTTCATTTTGAATTGGTTAAGCTGGTGTTTTGGTCCAGGTGCAGTTTAATTCATAAGTTCTTGTTGGTGTAGTTATTCGATTGCTTGTTGGTTTGTGGTTCTGCTGTTGTTGTAATGGCTTTGACAAAATACTGTATCGTATGCATGATTGTTTGCTTTTGGTTTCCCTTGTATTCGTGTAGTGGTTTTGCCTAGTTTTCGAGCCATTCTTGTTTGCTGGACTTTTGTCCCCAGGGTATGCCCTGGTGCCATGTATTCCTTCTTCTATTGTGTATGAATTTACACTTTTACTAAAATTGGTATATGCTCTTTATGTGAATTATAAATATGCCTGTCAGGTGTAAAATAAGTTAGTCTTGGTTGACATCACAAGGACTCAGAGTCGTCCCCTGGAGAGCTCTTAAACAAATTCAATTGGTAGATCACAATCCCATTGCTGGAAGGTAAAGAAACAGAACCCCAAAGTAAATAGCTTAACTAAAAATTGAGAATTAATCAAATGATCAATATTGGAATAGATGGCCAAATAAAAGGTGGAAAGGAAGTAATAGCAACACCTCCAAACCCTAGAATAGTGCACACAACAAACAACAATGGGCACCAGAAACCTAATGCTACTTATACAGTAATGCACACAACTTGCAAAACATAATAATAAAAAAGAGCCCAAGCTGTATGTATCAATCATACCTAACATGCCAAGGATCCACCTTGAAAAGGCAGCATTATAAAACTCCAATTAATCAATCAAAAATACTAGAAGACAAAGTATATTGAGTCAACATGGATTCATACCTGGCATTCTGGCAACATTTTGTCGATCGAAGTTCAAGCCACCTTGGTGGATCACATCGAATAGAACAATGCAAACAGAGAGATTGGAAGACAAGGAAACTTCACTATTCAAACATCAGTGACAAAGCTTTGAACCCCACACTCCCAAAAGTTATGAGCTTGAACAGAGATTCAGACATGAATAAGAGGAAAACAAACAAAACTCAACACCTCCTTGATCATCGAACAGATAGCAAAGACAGGAGTTCGTGATTTTGGTTCCAACTTGGGGGCGAAAACTAGTAGGATGAATATAAAGTTTAAAAACATTAAAAATTATATTTACATACATATTTTCCACATCAGAAATTATAATATATATTTTTAATGTAAAAAAAAAAAAACTAAGACAAAATTTTATATAAATAAAAAAACATTTCAATTCATTAAGTAAATTAAAAAATAAATCTAAGTCGATTTTTACATGACATGTACAAATCCAAATAGTAGATCACAGGTACGTTATGTGATCTAACATATATTCCATATATCTAATAAATAAATAAAAATTGTACAAAGAAGTATCAGGGATGTTCTTTTTGAAATAAATTCTCTTCATTGTACAAATAGAACCGAGCCGACTTTAAATTCAATATTATATTATTGCGGAATCAATTTGAAGACAATATGCATTAGATTCAAATAAAAGCATATAACATAGATCATGGGGTACTAGATAATAATAATAATAAAGTATGAATTGGACATTTGGATGAAGGTTTTGTATAATACATCAATGGGTATTTTGATGGCCTAAAAGTTATGTGAGTTTTGATGGACTAAATTTCATGTGGGTTGGGTTTGGACGGGCTTGTAACAAATTTCTGTAAGCTTGAGAGTCCAAATGTTAATTTTTTGTAAGCCAATGCTTAAAGATTAATTTTTTGTGTGACAATACTTGAATATGGGCCACTTAGTAAGACAACCACGCCAAACCCAACATACTAATACCCGAGACCATGTCAAATTCAAGTCTCGAAAAGTTCATTGCAACTCAACCCATCTCAATCCGTACATGTTTAAAGCATTTTTAGAATTGAGATTTTTAAGGGGTCAACCACGCCAGACCCAACGGACTAATACCGGAGTCCATGTCAAACTCAAGTCACAAGAATTTCATTACATATCTACCCATGTCAATCTATGCTTAATGCATTTTTATAGTTGCTCAGATTGTTCAGACTGTAACAACCTACTAAAAAACATAAAGAACAAAATGCTAATAATATATAAATTAAATAGGAAATTATATACACTTAACCTGAAGACAATATAATTGGTTAATAATTTGAAAAGAACTCAAAACTTTATATTCTTAATATTTTATTTATAAACTAACCTTAATTTAATTACTATAATTTTACATCAAACTTCAGAACTGACTATGTTACAAGCTAGACTAATGACTACAAATATATAAATAAGATGTGGCTGTAAAAAATTATAATTATTTCTTATATTTTGAGTTACTCAGTAAAGCTTTTACCCAAATGCTGCCGAAAGTAAATTCGTATTATAAGATCTAAATCTAATCTCAGTCTGAGTCTCAAATACCTTTTACTCACACTCATAAATTTTCGGATAGAACTTGAGTTGCTCATATTAGTCCCACCCTTCTCACCCGTATTTGCTTTTGCTGCAAATGAAATGAAAAATTGCATATAGAATTTGATGCAGGCTTAAATCCCTAGTGCACATTTTATTAATTAATTTTAATAGGCAAGAAACATTAGCACATCCACCTTGTTCCATTCAGAACTTAACCATCAACCTCCTCTATTATTGGTGGGAACAAGAAAAGAGTTGGTGAAATTCAAGTAAGTTCCACTCAAATTAGAACTAAACGGCCAAAATTAATTGAAATTTTAAGTTTTCCAAGTCTTCAATCCATCAAAAACAATGCACAGGTATGCTTTATAAATTGATCATGACTTGCATATATGTATGTGTTTTTAAAAGAAATTAAAGAAAACACGTTACCATAGTATATAAATTAAGTTGAATGGCCGGCAGTCTCTCTTCGAAAGAGAAAGGGTAGACATCGGAAAATGATTGGAAGACTTCAGAAAAAGCCTTTCTACAAAGTTCCAAAGATTCTATCTAAACAATTTATTTAAATTTAAGATGATCAATAACCACCATATATAACAATACAATTGATCTTTCTTGATAGATCCATAAAAGTCCTTAAAAAATTATAAATCTCATCCGTTTCTCGTTGCATGCATGCACGCAACGTTTAAAAAATTTGTAACCCAGGTTTAACGGCACAGCCTCCAGGGAGAGAAAGTGCCTCTTTTACGGATTAATATATAACAATACAAGTGATCTCTCTTGATAGATTCAAACGATTCTTTCTGATTAACGTCACAATTTTGAAATCCACTTCCAGAAATGAGTCCAATTATGCTTCTCAACTCTTTCAGAATACAAACACTAGGAAAAATAGTGATCATCACAATATTGCTGCATATCATCATGAGTACACTCCCTAATGCCACTGCCAGTACTGTAACCATTGGCAAAAATGAGACAGATCATCTTGCCTTGTTAGCCATCAAGTCAAAGATTGTTCATGACCCTCAAGGTGTCGTGAGCTCATGGAACGAGTCCCTTCATTTCTGCATGTGGGAAGGTGTTGCGTGTGGTCGTCACCATCGTAGAGTCATCAGCATTGATCTACCGTCCAGAGGTTTAGTGGGTTTGTTGTCACCATATGTCGGTAACTTGAGCTTCCTTCGGGTGTTAAGGCTCTTCAACAACACCATTCAAGGTGAAATCCCTCCTCAAGTTCGTCATTTGTTCAGGCTGCAGATGTTGTACCTGAACGACAACAGCTTCCAAGGAGAAATTCCAGTCAACCTATCCCACTGCTCCAACCTCAGGTATCTTGGTGTAAGTCTCAATAAGATAGTTGGGAAACTTTCCGAAGAACTTGGTTCCTTGTCACAGCTCACACATCTCATCATTCACGGGAATCACTTTGCTGGAAAGATCCCTCAATTCATTGGGAGATTGGCTTCTCTAAAATACGTGTCTGCAGCTTCAAATCATTTCACAGGTAGTCTTCCTGAGGCCTTGGGTCAATTGAAAAATCTAGAAGTACTTGCGTTTGGTAGCAATGAACTCTCTGGTACAATCCATCCTTCCATTTACGATCTCTCTTTTCTAACTGTTCTCTCTTTGTCCGGTAACCATCTTCATGGCACTCTTTCGCCCAGCTTGGGTCTAATGCTCCCTAATCTTATACTTCTCCAATTAAGGGGGAACAAATTTACTGGACCCATTCCACTCTCAATTTCCAATTGTACACCACTAAAAAACCTTGATCTTGGAGAAAATCATTTCAACGGGAAATTAGGAACTAATTTTGGAGGCCTACAGAATCTTGAGGAAATTTCTCTATATATGAATAATTTAGGAAGTGGAGAGCCAGATGAATTTAGCTTCATTGATTCTATGGCCGATTGTAGCAATTTAAAAGCGTTAGATTTGCCTGCTAACCAATTCAGAGGGCTCTTACCTGATTCTGTGGGCAATTTCTCAAACCAACTTTCCTATCTCTCACTTGATTTAAATTTATACACGGAAAACTCCCTTCAGCAATAGGTAATCTTTCCAACTTAGAACATTTAGGCCTATACAATAATCGATTCACGAACAATTCCATTTACTATAGAAATCTTCTAAATTTACAACGGGCATATCTTGGCATAAATACATTCCATGGGGAAGTTCCAGAATCTATAGGAAACTTGTCATTGTTAATGGAACTTTACTTGGGTGAGAACAGATTGCTGGGAAACATACCCATGAGTCTTGGAAATTTCAAAATATTGTTATTGCTTGATCATTCACAAAATAATCTTAGCTACCCAAACAACTTTGGAGCATTTCTTCTCTTTCTATTTCACTAAATCTATCTCGAAACCAATTGTCTGGATCCCTCCCTTTAGAGGTGGGTAGCCTCAAAAATTTGGTGGAGTTAGATATATCTGAGAATTGGTTGCTTGGTGAAATTCCAAATCGTCTTGAGAGTTGCACTAGCCTTGAAAATATCTATATAGAGGGAAACTTCTTTAATGGATCTATTCCTCAATCATTGAGTTCCTTAAGAGGTCTTGTGAACATTGATCTTTCTAGGAACAAGTTGACTGGACAGATTCCAAGATTCTTTGAGCATTTTTCCTTAAAGAACCTTAATTTATCCTTCAATGATTTTGAGGGTGAGGTACCCACTGGAGGAGTTTTTGCAAATGCTAGTGAAATATCAGTTGCTGGAAACAATAGGCTGTGTGGGGGCTTATCCAAACTTCAACTCCCAAAATGCAACATCAAAGAATCAAAGAAACAAAAAAGTTATCGTGCTCATATTAGTGATCTCCATAGCGTGCACCTTCTGGAATATTGTTGAGGGAATCATTCTACAGAGTGTCTTATGAAATGCTCCTCAAAGCAACTGACAGGTTCTCTTCAGCAAATTTGATTGGTGTGGGTAGTTATGGCTCCGTCTACAAAGGACTCCTTGATCAAAGTGAAACCATTGTTGCAGTCAAAGTGCTAAACCTCCAATGGCAGGGAGCTTCGAAAAGTTTCATGGCCGAGTGTAAAGCCTTGAGTAGGGATGGCAAAATCCCCATACCCGGCGGGTCCCCGCCCCACCCCGCCCTGTTTATGGCGGGTTTAGGGACCCATTTATGTAAATGGGGAGGGGATGGGGATTGTATTTGAAACCCCAGCGGGAGATAGGGTGGGGGGAGGATAACCCCGCCCCGTTTATAGTGCATTTTTACAAAATTGCCCTTACATGTTATAAAATATTACTAAATTACATAACTATATATATAATATATTCACTTCTGAAAGTGAAACCCTAGATCTATTCCCTTGCAGCATAGAGAAAGAACATAGTCGTTGTGCATCAAATATCTGATCATATTTTAAATTGTTATAATTGTGCTGAAGCTTTATTTAATTATTAGGTTGAAAAATATTATGGCTGTGTTGATTTTGTTGAAGGTGAATTGGAATTTAAAAAATGTTATGTGGGGCGGGGATGGGGGCTAATGTGGCGGGGCGGGGTGGGGATGGAAAAGGGGGTTGAAAATTAAACTGGTATGGGGGTGGGGGTGGGGGTGGGGATGGGGTAAAAAATTTGACTAGGGATGGGGATGGGAATGGGGAATGAGATCCCCGCCCCACCCCGCCCCATTGCCATCCTTAGCCTTGAGAAATATCAAACATTGGAATTTGGTAAAGGTCATAACTTCTAGCTCAAGCGTTGATTTTCAAGGAAATGTGTAATGTTTCCGATTTTCGCCATTTTTCATTTTCTAAAATTTACTGATTTTTAGAGGGTATTTTCGTCTTTCCTTGTTTTGCGTGCCAGACACCGTGGAGTGTGCCAGGTGTGTCCAAGAGTTAGTTGGGGTATTTCTTTGAGTTCAGGACTCTTGGAAATGCAATGGTTGTCATTTCGGCATTTTTCCGTTTTTCAGGTCGGACGATCCAAGGTGGGACCCGCTATCGGGATTTTTATGTACGGGAGTTATGTCACAGGTCCAATTGCATACCATACATAATTATTTTGTACATAAGTTAATTGTTTAAATGCTAAATTTTGGTTGTAATGTAAGAAGTCCATGTATATGAAAATTGTGGTGGAAAAATTAAAGCAAAAATATTTTAATTTTGGGGGCCCATCACTAATGCATTTTAGTGACCAAAGAGACCATTTTGGCCTCATTTTTCTTTCTCTCTCCCGTAAGCTCTCTCTCTCTCTTTCCTTATCTTTTTCTTTTTCTTTTCTTCACAATTTCAAGTTTCAATTACTCTCTCATCTTTTGGAGTTTTTTTGTGCCGTTTGCGGCAAATTAGAGAGCGCGCCGAGATCTTCGATTTGATCAGAGCCAATCTCCGTTTGGCCACACTTGGGATTTCAATTTTTAGGGCATTAATTAGGGGTTTTTGCATCTTAAGAGGTAGAGGTTTCTAATCCATGCATTCTTGTACCTTTGTGAGTTAATTCTATGTGATATACTGTCAAACATGCTTAAATTGTTTTGATTTTACCTTAAAGTGACTTAATTGTGTATATGAAGTATATGATTTTGTATGTTAGTTGATATTGTGTAAATTAACATGCTTAATTGGTAATATTCCTTGCCTATTATGTTTAGAATTTGCCAAATTTTAAAATGTGAAAGCATAATGTTCTCTTGGGATTTCTTGTAAAATTATGCCATGTGATTTGAGCTTAAATTAAGTGTGTGATAATGGATATTGGCTTGACATAAGAAAAGCATGATGCATTCATGCATAGCATTGGGCAAAGAAAATGGAAAAAATTATTTTGAAATGAAAGAAAGGGGTTTTTGGAAAAAAGTTTTTATAAAGGGTTTTGCGAAAACCCAGACGCATAGGGGGTACCGAGGGTCCGCGGCGTTAATGTGACCTAAAGGGAACTAGGGAAACCCCCTAGCGTGGTTGAGTTATCTGTCCCCAAATGACGCCACGGGGGTACCATGGGTTAAGGACAGTAGCCAATCCTTCTCTCGTGTCGCCACGGGGTCACCGTGGGACGGGTTGTGTTAACGGTTTGAAAAGTGAGGAATGGAAGTGATTTTGAAATGGGGAGTGACACAGCACGGCATTGCATTTCATGGCACGACATTATTTGTTTTTGACCTTGAAATTGTATGGTATTTTCCCCGGCATAGCATGACCCCGCTTCCTTATTTCTATTCATTGTTTGGATTCACGGGGTCACAAGAGGTGTGTCTTAGGCACCACCTACTGAGCAATTTGCTCACCCCTTATATTTAACATTTTTCAAGTCATGGGAAGGAGGTGGCGGATGACAATCCACCACAAACATGAAGAGTCTAGGAGTGTATTTTGTAACCTTTTGTACTTGAGGCCATTCTTTTGTAAAGTAATATCTTGAAAATGTATTAAGCTTGCTTACTATGGCTATGTAATGTAACCATCAACCTTTGATTCTATTTTGATGTAAAATTGGACAAAATGTAAAGACTATGCATTATTTCTTAGTTGAATGGGAAGAATGATGATGAATGTATGATGAGATCACAGTTTCCTTGTGTCGCCATGTTGTAGAATTCCTTGAATTAGCCTATCAAATTGTTTATTTTTCTCATTCATGTATGTTGGGTTGAGAGGATGGAATGTACAAACTTAGAAATGCATTTGGGATAGCAATTTCAGGCCTCCCAGGTGAAGAGCCAGCTCTTCCCCTTTAGGAGTCGACTCTTTTTGGTCCAGTAGCTTAAATTCGTCAAAATATGAAGTGGAGCCTGCTCCTTTGGGAGTGGAGCATCCTCCTTTGGGGTGGAGCCGGCTCCTTTAGAGTGGAGCCGGCTCTTTCTTGTCCAGTAGCCTATTTTGACAAAATTTCAGCATAGAGCCGGCTCCATCGGAATGGGAGCCGGCTCCCTCAGCAAAAGGAGGCGGCTCCATGGAAATGGGAGCCTGCTTCCTTGCTGCTTAAGAGTTTTTTTTAAAATCCGAACTTTCATTGGCCATATCTTTTGCGTTTCAAATCCAAATGGGTTCATTCTTGTGTCAAATCTTAAGGATATTAAGTCAACTTTCCAGTGAAATTAATTTGCACACCTTAGTTGACCGTTTTGTCCTTGATTATTTTCGGGTTCGGGTAAGGACTCGGCTAGCAATAGTTTGAAAACCATTAGGACAACGAGTAGAGGCTTATTTAGGATTACATGGGAAGTTGAATTGCATGTTTATATGCTTATGTGTTAAGGTGTCTAACTGCTTAATTGCTTATGTGTTTACGGTTTTAAAAGGCATACTTATTTGCTAAGTGTTCACATGCTTATGTGTTTAAATTCCGGTGTATATAAAAGAAGTGTATATGTTATTTGAAAGCATGTTAAGTGTGATAAGATGTCAAGAATGAGGAATGTGGTGACAGCAGGTGGTGGGCACGGTATGTGTGGTTTCATTTTAATGGTAATGTGGCAAATAGTGAACATTGTATGTGCATGCATGTTTCACATGGTACTTTGGGTTACAGTCATTTTGTATATATATATATATATATATATATATATATATATATATCAATGTACTTATGTGTTTATGCGGTTGAGCATTGGGATGGTTGCTAGTACAGTTGTGCGAGTTTTGACCTGAGTAGGCGAGGAGCTTGTTTGCTCCAGGGTTATTGGGTGCCAGTTCATATCGAACGAATAGCTTGGTCTTTTAGCTCGTGGATTGAGCTATCCAGTGTGGGGTCCTCCTGATCTTCTTGGTGCATTTTCTGTGGTGCTTAAAGCACGACTTTTGAATGAGTTCGTATTTCATGGCACGGTGACTAAGTTGCGTGTGAGTTTCATGCATTAGTGTATGAGTTTTGGTGACCGTGGAGGTCAGGTGTGCGAGTGAGGGTTTCGGTACGACCTTAGGAGGTCAGTGTTTGTGACTTGGGTCACAGTTTGGTTGCGGAGGTTCTTTCGAACCGGTCATGGTAGGTGTGACAGGGGTTGTTTGAGTCACGAATGTAGTCTATGGGTTGTGGATGTGTATTACGGGTGTTCTGGTACGGTCTAAGGAAGTGTGTTGGTTATGGTTGGTTGAAAGGTGATTCCCATTCCGGAAAACTATAGGAGCGTGTCGCGGGTGATCGACTCATGGAGAGTTGATTGCATGGCTCAACTAGCAAGCAGGATTAAGTTGGCACGATTTTTGAGAGAGTCTCGAGGTGGGGTATAGTGGTCAGTTTTAGCTGTGTGGTGCAAGGTTGCACGTTAAGGCAGGTAGTTTGAGGGCATTAGAGTGCTTGGTTATTTACGGATGAGGTGATAACTAGTGGGGACTGTGTTACCAAATGGACTATGTATTGGAAGTTGAAAGTTGTGGGCTGGAGTTATATTTCAAGTTGTGTTTGAAGTATCAGGAGATAGTTGTAACGACCCGAACCCGGAGGTCCGAACCGTTAGCCGGGTCCTTGCTCGAACCCGAGGTCATCAATGTCAAACCCGTGATTTCTAGTGTCAAAACATCACCTTTAAGGTCATCATTGGACTTCACAGCGGCTTAAAAGAAATTTCCAAGGCATAGGATTTAACACATTGAAGAGAAGGACAAGATGAACAAAATAGGTGCACTCTGATCGACCGAAGTGGAGCTTCGGTTAGCCGAAGCAACTCCCAAGAACTGGTCGACCGAAACAGGCATTTCGGTCGACCGAAATGAAGCCCTAAAGCCATTGAAGTCTCTAGACGCACCGATCGACCGAAGCAGGCATTTCGATCGACTGAAATGGCTCTGCGAGCCCTGGAATTGCTACTGAAATACTAAAATGAGAAAATGATTAAGGGGCCCTTTCTAAAATGCTCTAGACCTGTTCTCAAAACGTTTAAGTGCTAAAGCCATATACCATCGTCATGAGCATCGACATTCGAGCAAAACACGACATCATTAAAGTGCTTTTAAATAAGGATTCATCATGGTTATTACATTTAATTTAATTTACATCAAAATAGTGTTAAGGTTCATAGTTGGGTTACAAAGCTGTGATAGCAAGTTTAATTACATTTCAAAATATGCTTTTACAAAAGAATGGCTCTAAGATACAAAAGATAACAAAAATGGTCTTCTAGCAACCCTCAAGCTTGTGATGGATTGTCATCCGCCACTTCCTTCCCATGACCTGAAAAATGTTTGATCTAAAAGGGTGAGTAAATTGC